GGATGCCATAATGAGGCTTGTGATATGCATGGGAGGCAGCAAGCCCTCTTGGAGGGCCCCGTTTTCTGAGCCTCGCCTTCAGCTGAAGAGATAAGAACCTACAACTGGGGCCACAGGAAATGACAAAGCAGTGACTGATCAGGGAGCTGCTGCACGGGGCTCATTATGGTGCTTGCCAGCGGGCGAGACACCCTTATCAGGGAGAAAATTGCATCAGGCCTCCTGAATTACTAGCGATTGGAAGCAGATTTCTTGGGACGCACTTTGTTAGATACCTAATGAGCGGGATACAGGCGGGCAGAGCCCAAGGCCGGCGGGGCGGGGGACAAATGTCTTTGTTAAACAGAATTTGTCAGTTTCCGCTGCAGGTTCCCCGGGGAGGGTTCAGGGCCAGCTAATTGAATTAAGAGCGTGTGCGCTCCAGCGAGAAGCTCAGGGCGGGGCGAGCGGCGGGCAGGCCTGAGGGCGGGCGCTCTCAGCACCAAGGACAGCAGCTGCACCCTGGCTAGTGGGTAATTGCCAGGGCAGGCTGGAACTGTTGCATTTTGCATGATTATGGATCTAGGGGACCGAGTGGGTAGGAGGGAGGCAGAGATGTAGGGGAGGAGGAGGAAACAGGTGACCCAAGAAGCCTCGAGTCTGTGATGCTATTGGCCTGGTCTGTCCCAACAGACCCTCCTCTGCAGGCAACGGGGAGGCCTGAGAGGCATGAGGAAGGGAGTCTTCTCTTCACCATGACACTCACGTGGTTTGGGGCAGCTGCGGCAACACAAGCAGCGGTGGGCTGTGCAGCGAGCCTGAGCCGGTGCATGGCTGTGCATTGCTTCGAGCTTTCAAAGTAGGTCTCCCAATTACAGCCCTAATGAAGCAGGACGCGGTGCAGCCACGGAACCACAGAGTGAGGGGGCCACTTGTCAGCCCCAAGCTGCCTTCACAAGCAGGGGCAAGGCCTGCTGAATAGCAAAGCAAACAAGCCGGCCTCTGGGGTGGGCTAGCAGCCTCCACCCCCACCTGGAAGAAAGGGGGAGAGCTAGGTAAGGCTGGGCTTAAATAGGAAGGAGTAGTCCCCAAGGCCCTATCCTCTCTCCTCATCCTCATTTTAGCACTGTCTCCCTCCTCCTTGCTCCACCCTGACCACCCACATTCCGAGCAGCCTGGCCCCTTCTTGTAGCCCCAGACAAGCTCTCTTCTCATGAGAAGCAAGGAAGAAGGGCACACTTGCCTCCCCACAATGTGGGTAGACTGAAGCTGAGCAGTCTGAATAGGCGATGTTAAGAAGAATTTAGGTACTGTGTGGGGCATTGTGGGCCTCCTGGTGCCCCTTACCTCACATGACAAGAGCAACAGCTTCTGGACCTCCCTTTGGGGCCTCTACTGTGTGGGAGTCTAAAGATTTTTCTGTAAAAGTCACCCACTTGCTTTCCCCCAACTCCCAGGGCAGGATGGATCCTGACAAAGTTGATTAGAGCGGGAGAGTAGAAATGTGGGCAGGAGTCCTGCAAGGACAAGTGTGGGAGGTGGGGAGGTACTAGCATGAAGCAGCTGTGGGAACAGGTACAGTCCAGCGCCCGCTATGGAGAGTTCAGAGCAGAGTAGATCCACTGAGTCGGGTAAGAGCTACAGGTAGAGCAGCTGTGGGTCCAAAGGTACAGAAGAGTTGACATTCATCACTACTCTGCCTTTCCTTCCCTCCTCCTGAGAACATCTTCCCCCCATAATCTGCCTCAGAGACTGACAAGATGAAGTCACTGGTCTGGACTGAGGGGCCAGTGTCATTTTAATTTTATCTTTGTGATGAAAAATTAAATGATTTATACATCATAAATTTCAGAATCCTACGTGAAAGTACCTGGTGAGTGGATGTGAGGGTGATATGGCTGCAACATCTCTCACCCCATTGATCACCAGATTGATTCAGCTGATCTGGTTGGCTAAGCAGATGTCCCCTTCCTCCCTCACTGCTCCACATGCATCCCTCCCGAAGCTGTGCTGTCTAGATATTGAAGGCCAGTTCCTCATTCAAGGGTTTACGAGTAGCTGCGCTCCCCTGCTAGAACCTCTAAAGCTCTCAAGGTCCATTTGTAGGAGAACACAGGATAGTCAAGCTTCCAAGACTCCAGACACGTCTAAATGAGCCCCTACTTATGACAATCTGCCTTTTTTTAAAAAAAAATTTTTTAAGTACCTGGTAAGTGCCCCGCTTTGATGAGGAACCAAGTAAACGTCAGCTCTGGGTCACTGAGTTTACCCAGCTGGTACTGGGCCTACACAGGGTAGATGTCAGAGAGACAGGCTATGGGGGAAGGGACTCCCTCTGCAATGTGTCCCTGCTTTCAGAGCTGATGGGGTACCTCTGGAGACCTCTCTCTTGATTTCATTACTTCCACTTCCTCCCCTAACTGGATTAGATGGCAGTCTATGAAATCCAGGGCAGCAAGATTGGCTTTCTGCCTGGAAATGAGGAGAGATGTCATTACAGGTCCTGAATCAGCATCTCGCCCCAGTCCCAGGGGCCACCTGGTCAATGGGGAGTCCGTCTTTGCCCTGGCTAGTTGTTCTTTCCTTCACTCTCTCCTGTATCCATCTACCCACGCATCTCCAGTAATCATTCTGTAGTTCTCCTGCTACAGCCAGTCTGGTGTTCAGCTATTCTGAGCAGGAGACACATGCGGTGCTTTTTCCTATCTAAAACATGAAGACGGGGCACTTGGGTGGCTTAGTTGGTTAAGCATCTGCCTTTGGCTTGGGTCATGATCTCAGGGTCCTAGAATAGAGCCCCACATTGTTGGGTTCCATGCTCAGCAGGGAGTCTGCTTCTCTCTCTCCCTCTGCCCCTTTCCTTGCTCCTGTTCTATCTGTCTCCCTCTCTCAAATAAATAAATAAATCTTTAAAGAAAAGAAAAAACTCAGAGACAACAAGACAACCCCAAACCACCTGACTCAGATGCTATCCAAAGGCACTGGTGTGTTCAGTGGGGAGCCTCTAAACGAATTTCGCCCTCCCTAAACCATAGCTACTGGGAGAGGCAGATGAGAGAGGTGGCCAGGTCTGAAGCCCAGGGGCAAAACAGGCCTGGAAGTTTGGGTACAATAGGTGCCAAAATCAGCCTCAAGGTCACCCGAAATCAGCCACAAGGTCACTCAGTGCTTCACTCTTCTCATTTCAAGAATCTTCATGTAACTGCTTTCTCTTTGGAAGTGTCTGTCCTTGTACCCACCTGACAGGGTGGGTCAGAGATGAGGCCCAGACTGGACTGGATACCTCTGTTCTTGTATGACTATCCCTTACTCTACTGACAGAGGCCTGAAAGGACTTCCTGTTAATTTCTGTATGCCAAATTTTATATTTTTAAGATTTTATTTATTTATTTATTTATGAGAAAGAGTAATGCATGCAAAGGGAGGAAGGGCAGAGGGAGAGGGAGAGAATCTCAAGAACCAGACTGCACCTAGTTGGGAGCCTGACTCGGGGCTCAATCTCATGACCCTGAGAACATGACCTGAGCTGAAACCAAGAGTCAGAGGCTTAGCTGACTGAACCACCTAGGCAGGCACCCCATGAACTTCTCTGCATATCAAATTTTATTTTAAAAGGGCATAAAGGAATCATTAGTTAAAGGATCCAAGTGGTAAAATGAAGCGTCCTTATCCTGATTCATCTGGTTCATGTGTGTGGGTTTTCATTAGTGTCCACTTAAAGAGAGGCTTACCTGTACTGTTCTCCCTCTGTTTGTTCAGGGACAGACATTCAAGCACCTCTAACATTGAGCACATCCTGTCCTGGTTGGCACTATGCCCCTTGTTCTATTTGCTTCTAGCACAGATGGTGGCATATTTATCTGCTATGTGGCTAAGAGAGAACTCCAACAACTGATGTGGGGTAGAAGCTGGTTGCCTTTGAGCTCCCTACAGCCTTTGAGCAACATGCACATTAGGGCTAACCATGGATCTCTACCAGAGTTTTAAAGTAATCTCTCCTAAAGGGAGCATAAGCCCATGTCTCTAAGCCCAGGGAACTTAAAGTTCGGGCAGAGAAACAAAAATGGCAAATGAGCCTGGAGTTAGAGAACAGTGTGAGAGCAGAGAGAGCCAGCTGCTGGTCTGGAACATTCCAGAAAAGCCTTAAGTGAGTGTGGGTGGAGGCCATCAAGATTTCCTGGAGAGGTTGGGATCTGAGTGGGGCTGGGTTCTAGACAAGCAGAGATGAGAGCTGTGGTCCTGCCAAGGGAAGAAGGGAAGAGGAAAAAGAACCTGGAAAGACGAAGAGGAGGCCCAGCAGAGTAGAGAGAGGAGACTGTTTAACAGGTAATAAGGTAGGAGGATAAGGCAGGCATGGAATGGAAAAGAAATCTATCCAGCAAAGGGTGTCAAAGGCGCAAGGCTGTTGCTACCATACCAGACGTGAGAGCCTGGATGGCATGGTTCGTTTATTCCTGGAACAAATATGTGTTGTGCACTTACAATGAGGCAGCCACTGGGGATGAACAAAGTCTCTGCCTACATGTCACTTGTGTCCTAGTGTGGGGAGGAGAGGAGGGAGGCAGACACTAAACAAGCAAAAAGAGTTTTTGCAAGTTTAATTTTCTGGCAGAGTTGAGTACTGTGAAGAGTAAAATGGATAATGTGAAGGCACCCCTACAGTAGAGGAGGGGTGCCTTTAGAGAGAACGGGCCTCTATCTTGAAGGCCAGGGCCCAACCGGGAAGATCACATCTGGGCTGAGACCTGAATGACGAGAAGAGGACAGCCCTGTAAAGACCCATGAGGCTTTCTGGGCAGAGAGCACAGCAGATGGAAAGGCCCTGAGGCAGGAAAGAGCTTGGCTCATTGGAGGAATACCAAGGACAGTGTGGTGAGGCCAGTGAGCAAGGGGGTGGATGGTAGGAGGTAGACGGGCCCGCATGCAGGGCCTCCTGAGCCATGAAGAGGAGAAGCTTGAAGGATCTAGAAAGTACACTTGTGGTAGAAAGACACAAATTTCTTTGCACCTTCTCTTCTCAGAATCCGGAAAACTTCTTGACGCCAAACAACAGCCAAGTTCTTCCCATCCTAGACCCCAAGATCTTGGATGAAAAGCTGGGTACCATCCGTGAATCCTGGTCCAAGGCCACGGTGAGCTCTACAATGGAATCCAGCACATCTACCTCTCAGGAAGCAGAGGTAGAGCTTCAGTCACCCAAGATGTCCCATGAGATGGTGAGTGTTTCCACTCAGCACTGGGAGGGCCAGAGTGGTGATGGGGTCACAGGGAAGGGGTTTGGCCGTCACCTGGTCACTCTTCAGGTGGCAAGGAGGCCTCCCTTCAAGCACACTCCGTATGTGACTTACCCCAAAGCTAAACTGGTGGAAGGTGTGGATTCTTCATTTTACAGTCTCTTCATCTTTTGAATGGAACTCCCAACACAATTTCCCTCAGGCAAACCCAACATTGTAAGAGACCATCCATTGACTCAGGTAGTGAGCAACCCAGAACTTTCTCAGGTACATGTCCACTGGGTAAAAGAAAGCCCCTCTGAGTCATTAGTTTTGATTTCTCAAAGAAGAGTTTGGGGCTCAAAGAAAAGAGGACGTCATCTCTGGTTAGAGTCTGTGTCCTTGGTCATGACTGCTGCTGCGGCCCCCTCCTGGCAGGAGACCAGATGCTGGGAAAGGGTTGATGAAGGTGGTGAAGGTGGCATCTTAATTTGGTGAGGGGTCAGTGCTGAGTAGTGGCCCCTTCATGCAAAGAGGTGAAGAACAGGCTACCTGTAAGACAGTCCAGTCAAAGTCTCCTGCAGGGGTACCACGGGTCCCTTCATGCGTGGCTCCCCCCCTTCTTCCACAGCTGATCCCATGGGGAACATGGATCAGAAAGATCCTGAGGAAAGGCCCCAGCCAAGGCCACTGGCCCCTAGGGAAGCCCAAGGCCTCTTCCTCTCAGGACCTGACCCTCTCCACCGACAGCCTCCGCATCTTCCCCTGGCACTTCTGCACCTTTCTGAAACATGTCCCGTCAGATGAGTAGGAAGGTTTGCAGACCGCTGGGTGTGCCCAGGGTGCTCCCATGTGGACTGCCCCTGGCCACCCCGGAGCAGGTCCAAGAGCACTCATGGGCCAACTTCTACACCCCCTTGTCTCACCTCTGCCCCTTGGGAAACAGCTCTAGGGGCTGACCTGCCAGCCCGGCTCTCAACTCGGTTGAAAATAAATATTTCAGACCTTGTCTTTGGAGACTTTGGCAGCATGAATAGTGCCCGTGGTCACTCTTCATCATCTCTTAAGAATTCCACTGTATGAGATGGTTCTAGACTGCAGCTTGAGAAGTCAAGGTTAGCCAAGAGCAGGAACTGTTCTTAAGCAAGAGGCCGAGTAACTATTGTGAATGGTGGAGGGGAGGAGGAGAAATAAGTAGCCCAAGGGCACGACGACAAGATTCTGGAAGGTTCTGAGCGCATACAAGGGGGATTAGGGCTCCCCTGTACCCACAGGCTGAGTGGCTGTGAGTTAGGTGCATGCATCCGGAGATGCGTGCCCTCTCTGGGAATCACCCAGTAGCCCTGTTGGTGGGCTGGTCCCTCTACCTTCCCCCTTGCTGGGCACCCGGCTAGATGGTGGTATCTCCTAATTTGATAAAGGGTGGCAATGAGGAGGCCCCGAGGTGGGGTGACCCTGCCGAAGGCTTCCAAACCCCACTCTCCCATGCTGCCTTCCCCAGGCGTGTGCTGTTCAGCCAACCTGACGCCACTTGGTCCCTCAGACGCTCAGAGTATTCAGTACATTGGGCCTGCCCTTCTCCCTTGCCCATCACACCCTGTGTTAGACCCCCTTTCCCTCCCAACCCTGCATCATCTGTCCCTTCCCACCTCTCTCTCAGCTCAGATTTACCATCTGGCTATTCCTACCTCTGGTTCTTTGCCCTAGTTGGGTCTGGAAGACCCAGCCCCCAGTTCCAGCTCCTACCCACTCGCCAGAGCCCGCACGGACCGGGGCGGGACCCAGACATTCACATGGCCGGCAAAGCCCCATCCCAAGCAATAGAGCGTGGGTGAGGAGCAACGTGCAGTTCCGTGAAATCGCAGGTAGCCATGCAGCAATGGGTCACCGTTCCATAGCAACCAAACAAAATTACATAGCGATAGACGAGCTCATACAAACAAGAGACAAAGTGACAAGCAATAGAACGCAGTCAGGGAGCGGTGCAGTATAGTTGCATAGCAATAGACCCCAGCCCTACAGTGACCCTCCACGGCACCGTATTACGGGACATGGGACCGCAGACTACCATGGTAGTGAGCACAGAACACAGCACGTAAGCTGCAGGCAGAGGCCCAGAGCAACAGAAGATACTCGAGTAACACTTGAACACATCCGGGTAGCAGTGGCCCCCTCACAGGGTGTGACTCCTGGATGTGTGGCCAGCAGCAGAGCCTGGGGCAGGGGGTTGGTGGCAGTGGGACCCAGTGACATGGCAGTGGTGGAGTGGCCAGCAGACGACAAGCTGCCTCCCCTCTTCTCTCCACCTCTGTGTTCAGACCCTGAGCCTCTCATTGGCACCGGATTCCTGGTGCATTTGTGTGTCTAGTCTTGTAGTGGGGTCTCCAGAGCCCAAGAAACAATTTTGCCTGAGTCCCTCCAGAGCCTACTCTGGCTTAATAGGAAATTTAACATTTTCTGGAGAAAGGAGCACCTTGGGAAGAGAGGAGGAGGTGGAGGGGATGCCGGGTCGGTCCCCTCTCCGCGAAGAGGCCACGGGTGCTCCCCGCTGCCCCAGGGCCTGCCAGCCTCCGCTCTAGCCCCCCTGGGCACCCTCCCCCACCAAGCACCCTTCCCTGAGTGCACCCTCGGGTCCGCCTTCATTCCCAGCTGCAGTCCTGCCCAGTCTCCCATCACAGGCTGGTCTTCACACAAGCTTTTCAGGTGCCACTTTGTGCACGTGGTGCAAAGCTCCTGTCCCGAGTGGACCCACTGGGACCAGGGGCTCACGGGTGTGGTCTCCGGTCAAGTGTTGGGTTTGGCAGAGCTGGAGGAAGGGTTTCTGGGCAGCCCAGAAAGTCTTTCCAGGGAGAGGTGGGTTTTTGGGTGTGAGGAATGCAACGTCAGGAGTCATCTTCAACCCCCAAACATGAAACAACTTGCAAGCATCCCCCTTCACCCCTCCCGCCCTCCCCTGCCCACCTCCCACTGAGCGGGTAACAGGAGGGGCTCTGGTTGGGTTCACAGAGGCCTTCTAAAGCCCCTGCCCCCCACTGCCCACTGCCCACCCCCACTCGGGCAGCTACAGCAGCAGTTCCTCCAACCTGCCAGAAAACCCAAACCCCCAACCCCTGCCAGGTGCCCAGTGCTGTGTGCAGAGGTGCAGGGGGAGGGTGGTGGACGGAGAGGCCGAGGGCCCGGGCTCTGCAAGTTCTCCGCAGGCGGGAGAGAGCCCCACTCCACAAACAGCAGAGCGACACAGACTAGGCCCTCGGAGGCAGGTGAAGGATGAAGGCTGCCTTGTGGCAAAGGGGCACGGCTGGCACCATTTCTCTTCTTAAGTGCCACAGTCACCCAGCATTGCCGGGCACGCCCAGTGAGCCCTCAGGAAGAGAGAGGAGCAAGGAAGGCTTCCTGGAGGAAGCAGAAGTACTCAGTACTTCTTGCCATTCAGGAAGTGTATGTTGAAATTCCAGTGGAGGGTCTTTACCCTCCTCTCTCCGGCTCCCTCACTCCACTCCCCGCCCACACACCCCCTTCTCTCTCCCCGACCTCCCCCCCCCCACCTAGGCATCTCCCTGCTTCTGCCTTTCTTCGGTTTTCTCTTTCTTTCTGATTCTCTGGCTTTCTCTCTCTCTCTCTCTCTCTCTCTCTCTCTCTCTCTCTCTCACTCCCCCTCCCTCCCTCCGGTGCTTGCTTGGCAGACCAGAGGGCCCTCAACCAGCAGATGAATAATTGACAAGGGTTGTTTAAAGATTCAGTGGAGTTTTCCCTCCTCACCACACTGGAATAACTCATTTCTCTCATTCTCTCTTTGAAAGCCTCTCCCCCTGCCTCCATCTCCCCCTTGCCGGTGCCCACGTGCCTGCCCTCCTCTGAGTCAGCTCTTGGGTCTCTCCTTTTCTGAAGCCTGCTGGACCCCAGAATGATCCTGTTTGGCCCTCATTTCCTTAATGTCACTTGCCCCGCGGCACCACCCCCTTTAACCTCTCTGAAGGGTGGTAGGTTGACTTCAGCTCCCCCGGATAGCATGTCCCCAAGAAAGAGCGCCCCATTTCATGGACCAGGAGAGGAGGGCAGGCCCAAGGAACTGTGACTGTCCCAGATGGCACAGCAGCAGAGGTGGGGTTGGGAGCACCGGGGGGGGGGGCAGGCCTCAGAGCCCAGCGCCCACCCCCCACCCCAGGCCCCTCCGCAGAGGGAGAGGTGCTGGCTCTGTCCTGCCTGCCCAGGGTAGTGCTGAGCACTCTGTCCTTGAGCTTCGGTCTCTCCATCTATAGCACAGGAGAGCTGCTCACCCTGCTCTAACAGCCCCTGAGGACCAGATGGGACAGATGAGGACCCTTTACAAAGGGGGGGACTGGAAGTGTAGCAGAGATATCGTGCTGCGTGCCTGCCTGCATGGCCTGAGTGTGCCCAGCCATCCCTGTGTGCCCAGGGGTCCCCGAGCCATAGGACTTGCGGTCTAAGCCAGAGACAGACTCAGCTGAACCAGGAAGAGGGTCACCTGCATGGCATGGGCCTTCCCCCGCCCCAGCCCCACTAGGGTCATGGCTGCCACAGCCTCACCGTCTCCACAGTCCACAGCGACAGGACCCCCACCCTCTGCCCGCCTGGCCCCCTGCATGCTGCCCCCTGCTCCCACAGAGCTCTAACCGGCTCCTGGAGGTGACCTTGAACTCCCTTCCCTCTCTGGGTTCCTTCCTCTGTCAGCAGAGGAGGTTGGAGCAGATGTTCCAGAGTCCCCTGGGGCTCCTGCGCTGACCAAAGCCTTGGTCCTGCCCTAGCCCCTCCCTGCCCTCCACCCCCAGGATGAGATCTGTAGGCTGGTGGGGCTGGGGTCAAGGAGCTCAGACCAGGCCCCACTCCCAAGGCACCACCTGGCGGCAGGTGGCAGGTCCTGGCAGTGGTTACCTGAGTATGACACTGCCTACGCTGGCGGCAGGAATGTCCATCTTGGGAGAAGGTATGGCAAAGGCCAGGGGTCTTGCGCCCCATGAGCCTGAGTGGCACAGAGCCCGACC